AGGGAGCAAGAAAGACACGCATAAATATGTTGCTATGTCGGGTCAGCTGTGTCAGTATTTTTGCTGGATCCTCGTGTACTACTATATCAATGCAGAAGTTTGAAGTCGGTGAGATGTACAGTGCTACCCAGTAAAAACGAAACCGAGAATTATCGATGTTTTATCATAACTTAATCACAATTATAATTAATAAATGACATATATTTGTAAGGCTTAGAAACCAGAAACCAAAAGTCATGTGGCGGGCGGTTTCTGATTTTTTTTTTCTAGAAAGTTCAATTTCTGCCCTTTCATATGACACCTCAATCAGGGAAAATGAGCAAGGATTAACAAAGTTCTGTCCGTTTAAGTGATGTTTGCATTTCAATAATTTGATTTAAAAAGCTTGTTTAACAATGTTTCCAGCTTTATAAGTCTGAGATGCATGACCCTACGTGTTATCAGTGTTTGTGATATGGTATAAAAGAGAGAGAGAGAGAGAGAGAGAGAGAGAGAGAGAGGTGGAAAGTGAGAGACAAAGACAGACAAAGAAAGTGCGAGAGGAAGAGAGATAGAGGTATTTTGGAGGAAAACATCCCCCTTTGGTTTTTTTTTAATTTTTATTAATAACAACAAAAAACATTATGCCAATGGCTGAGCCAAAAAAAGGTGACCTTACCCCCCCCCCCCCCATACAAAGAAGAATGTCAATTTTTCAAATTTCGAAACCAAAAAAAAAAGTGTCCTCTTACACCCCCCCCCCCCCCCCCCCCGCTTATTCAGCGGCTGGCTGTCGTTGCAAAATTTTCGGCCCGATTTCAAAATGTTAACCCCCCCCCCTTGAAAAATCCCTGCGTACGCTACTGGAAGAGAGAAATAGAGAAAGAGAGAGGGGTAGAGGCAGAAAGTGAGGGTACGTTAAAGGCATTGTTTAACCGTGTTAACATTTTCATAAATCTGAGATGCATGACCCTACGTGTTATCATTGTCTCTAAAAGGCGCGGATCCAGGATTTCTTAGGGGAGGGAGCCCAACTTTTTTTTTTGGGAGTCCAAAAAAAAAAAATCGCAACGACTGAGCCAGCCGAAAAGTCGCTCAGTGGGGGGGGGGGGGGGGGGGGGGGGGGGGTAGTGAGCACATTTTTTTTTTGGGGGGGGTCCTCGAAAATTTTAAAATTTGCACCCCCCCCCCCCCCTTGAGCGCCAGGGGGGGCCCAACCCCCCCCCCAAAAAAAAAAGGTAAAAATCGCGTGATTTTGCATGATTTTTTTCTCAAGGGGGGGGGCCCTGGATCCGCCACTGGTCTCTAATATGGTGTAATATTGAAGCCCTACCAAAATTGCGGTTCAAAATGATTATGGAATGCTTCAAAAAAGGAAAAATCTTTGAGTGACCGGTTTTACTATATTCATTTCCCTCAATAGACTGTATTGTTAACGGTTTTTGTAATTTCTAATTCCAATCATAAATATCTTGATAATCAGACAGGCGATTGGCTCGTAAAAAAAACATGGGATTCCTGATTAACTTAAATGTTTATAATTATGATTGCAGCATGAGCTAAATTCAAGATTTTTTTTAAAGAATCAGAGGCAAAAATACCTAATTTAGTGAATTTGTTTAGAAAGTTGTAAACGAAAAGGGTGAGCATTGAAAAAAAGAGGGAGAAGAAGAGAAAAGAGGGAGAAGAAGAAAGAAGAGAAAAGAGAGAGAGAGAGAGAGAGAGAGAAGAGAAGAGAGATGGTGTAAATGGAGTTTTCTTACCAGTAGTTGTCGTAGGATGTGACGTGGCGGATTCCGTCGTGGACATCTTTGTGGTGTCTTCTGTAGTAGTTGATGCTGAAGAATAAAAGATGATATAAAGACATTATGGTTTGATCTTGGGCCAAAATGCGTCTAATTTCATATAAACCCAAATTATTTTGAAAGATAGATAGATTGAAAGAGAAAGAAAGACAGAGAGAGAAAGAGAGACAGAAGAGGGGCGGAGAGAGAGAGAGAGACAGACAGACAGACAGAAGAGGGGCGGAGAGAGAGAGAGAGAGAAGAGGGGCGGAGAGAGAGAAGAGGGGCGGAGAGAGAGAGAGAGAGAGAGAGAGAGACAGAAGAGGGGTTGAGAGAGAGAGAGAGACAGACAGAAGAGGGGCGGAGAGAGAGAGAGACACACACACACAGAAGAGGGGCGGAGAGAAAGAGAGAGACAGACAGAAGAGGGGTGGAGAGAGAGTGAGAGAGAGAGAGACAGAAGAGGGGCGGAGAGAGAGAGAGAGAGAGAGAGAGACAGAAGAGGGGCGGAGAGAGAGAGAGAGAGAGAGACAGAAAAGGGGTGGAGAGAGAGAGAGAGTGAGAGAGAGACAGAAGAGGGGCGGAGAGAGAGACAGAGACAGAGACAGAAGAGGGGCGGAGAGAGAGAGAGACAGAGACAGAAGAGAAGAGAGAGAGATGGTGTAATTGGAGTTTTCTTACCAGTAGTTGTCGTAGGATGTGACGTGGCGGATTCCGTCGTTGACATCGTTGTGGTGTCTTGTGTAGTAGTTGATGCTGAAGAATAAAAGATGATATAAAGACATTATGGTTTGATCTTGGGCCAAAATGCGTCTAATTTCATATTTATTTTTATTTTTATTGAAATATATTTAATCAGGATATCAAGAATCAGATATACATTGTAGATACAAAATCTGTTTTACATCATGGTCCTGAACAGGATAAAAACACGGAAATATAAATAACGAATATCACCAAAGCTCACAGGCAAAGGTAAGAACAGTATAAAACTAACATATAAGCATAATACGCATTAAAAATAGTAAAAAGCACAACAAAACAAAAAAACAAACAAAAACGACAATGAAATAAACGAAATTAACAGCGGAAAAAATATCAAATCACATTTAATAAAAGGCATTAAAATATCACCCTAAAAATAGAAGAGGAGAGAAGATATAAGGAAACTGGTAAAAAGTAAAGGAGGAAAGAGGGAAAGAAAGAAAGAGGGGAGAGGGAAATGGAGAGAGAGAGAAAGAGAAAGAGAGAGAGATAAGCCATGTCAAAGCAGTAAATGAATCGGCATTGTATTACACAGGTTTAAAAAATTTGTCCTTGTACATACGTTTAAAAACATCGATAGATTTAGCATTTTGAAAAGCAGAAGGTAGACTATTCCAGATTTTACCTCCAGCGTATCTAAAACAATTCTTAAAACATTCAAGATTAGGCTTAGGTAAAACAACATTCAGCGTATTGGCAAGTCTAGTGTTAAAACCATGTCTGTCAAAAACCATTTCCACTTCATTGCATAATCGTACTGGGGCTTTTCCATGAATACAGTTGTACATTATACATGATAAAAAATAGTCCCGTCTAGTGTCAATGGATTGCCATTTTAATGAATTTATTATACTCAAGCTATTTACATTATAATCAAAATTCCCTACGACAATACGTGCAGCTCTTTTTTGCAGTCTTAAAAGAATATTTCTGTTTTGTAAAGAACAGTTTCCCCATACGGAACAAGAATAATCTAAGATTGGCTGTATGGTACATTTGTATATTTTATTTAAAATGGAAGAGCTTAAACATTTACTGAGCTTTCTCAAAGTAAAAATCTTATAACTTAATGATTTGGTAAGAGATTTAATGTGGATATCCCAAGATAATCTATCATCAATTTCAATCCCTAAATATCTGATACTTCTTACTTGTTCTATTGTTTCAGTATCAATATGTACCTTCAGACTTAATGCATCGTTACCTCGTGTGTTACTACTCAACAGCATAATATTACTCTTATTAGTATTAATACGTAATCTATTTTTACAATACCATTCATTTATTGCATACAAATCTGCTTGGAGCTTAGATGTAATGACATTAATATCCATATCAGAAACATATAAGACAGCATCATCAGCGTATATATTACATGTACTTAATCGTAAGCAATCAGTTATATCATTTATAAAAACAAGAAAGAGTGAGGGGCCTAAAATACTCCCCTGAGGAATTCCTATAGTTATGTCCTTTGATTCGGACAGTTTACCATGACAATAAACTGCTTGTTTCCGACCAGATAAAAAGCTAGAAAACCATTTAAGTTCAGTATTTAAAATACCATACTTATTCAATTTGGACAACAAAAGTTCATGGTCAATACAATCAAAACATTTAGAAATATCAAGAAAACATGCACCAACTTTTTCCTTTTCATTAAAAGATTCGTACCAGTCATCAATGACTCTATGTAAACATGTATTCGTTGAATGATTTGGCAAAAAAGCATATTGGTCAACACTAATAAGATGATTAGTCTGCAAGTAAGATAAAAATTGAGACTGAACTTCCTTTTCAAGCAGTTTAGCAATATGACATACAACTGAGATGGGTCTATAATTTGAAATATTATTTTTATCGCCTTTACCTTTATAAACAGGCGTAGTTCTGGCCAATTTCCAATTGTAGCCCCTGTTTGGTGCAACATTAATATTATGTATAAAGTTATACACATTTTATCACATGTTTGTAAAATTACATGTGAGTCCATGAATTTTATAACTTTGCCCTTTTCACCTTAGTGGACATTCCACATGCTCTGTGCAGTGTTGAAATATATAGTACATATATATGCCCATAGTCTATACATACGAGTACACACGTGTGCCTTGTATGTGGTATACCAACTGTTCCTGGAACCAGGGGAGAACATCGCCGTCCTCCTGAAACATGAGTCATGAGTCATGTGTGGTCAAGATTGACCATGGTTGGGTCACTCCATTCTTTTAGCCTAGGGGTGTTATGGCCTATGATTTAATGTACATAACTAAATACTGTATCAATTATGATTGTTTATTGATTGTTTATCTTTCTCCAATTGAGAAAGTTATTTATATGATTATACAATGTTTCATCTATATCAATGTTGTATGATGTAATTGCTAAATGCTTATCCTGAACATGTATTAATGAAAGTACTTAAGCTTTTTACCTCTAAGTTGGGAGATGGCATAAACCATCTCAAAGTCAGCCATCTTCTCCTCATCATCAGCCTCTTTTGTCTCCAACCTCCATTGGGACAACACCATATTAATTGTCGCTGACAATATTTAATATTTCTTCTCTTTAGGTAAGCACATTATTACACTTTTTGAATATCTTACTCAATTATAACCAACTGTTGGCATTATGTATTTCTCAAGAGTGGATGGTTATGCAGTTGTGAGATTTAAACGGATTTTGTGTGAAGTTGTTGTAGAGATGGGAGAAAGTGATATCTCATGCTGTTGAACCATGTGATGCTATTGAATCATTCTTTGAACTTGTAAACTTATTACAGTTATTCCTGATTATTACTAACCGATGAGAATATACAATGACAATAGTACTCTCTGTTATTCTGGCTGCGCGCGTGAAGCATTATTCTATACCAAACTGCGATGGGAATTTACTTGGCGCAATATCACAACGAGAGCTTTCTAGTTCATAAAAGCCTCCTTAAACAGAGAGTACTATCGTCATCATATATGTTGCATGTTTTTCTGTAAATATTATTTACTAACTATTTCAGTTTTGATGTATTGGCATGAGGATAATAATAATAATAATTAATTTAGAGAATAATAGTAAAGGTATTATTGCTCTTTTGTCTCCAACATCCATTGGGACAACACCATATAAATTGTCACTGACAATTATACTCAATATTTCTTCTCTTTAGACAACGTCACAATGAAGGTCGTCGCCTCAGCACTAACCATTTCAGAACCCTCATGTCCAATTGATATAATTTAGGATGTAAATGTAGTAGTGATAAGTTATGTATGACCTTGTAGGATTAGTATAGATAGTTATAGTTCAGTTAAATGTTACTGTTTTGTTAAACTTCTATGATTTTATAGAAGTGCATGTATAAGTTGTAAATAATAAAGGGAAAAGACATCCCGATATATACTCGCATAAACAATGAGTAATAGTTTAGATTTTCAGACTCTTGTGTGTAATGATTGAATGAGCGTGATTGCTATTATGAGTAACTGTGTGATTATTATATGATCCTCACCCCACCCCAAAAATGTCGGTGCTACAATCATTAGGTAAAAATCCACAATTTAAACTTTCATTAAAAAGACAATTAAGAGAAATATTAATATAAGGAGCTGAGATTTGAAGTAATTTTCTATCAAATTCTAAGATATCAAGGCTACTCTCTTTCGACAATAGAGAGAGATTATGTTTAGTTTTCCCGGGACTAATATAAACCCAAATTATTTTGAAAGATAGATAGATTGAAAGAGAAAGAGAGATAGAGAGAGAGAGAGGGGGCGGAGAGAGAGAGAGAGAGACAGAAGAGGGACGGAGAGAGAGAGAGAGACAGAACAGAAGAGAGAGAGATGGTGTAATTGGAGTTTTCTTACCAGTAGTTGTCGTAGGATGTGACGTGGCGGATTCCGTTGTGGACATCGTTGTGGTGTGTTGTGTAGTAGTTAATGCTGGATAATAAAAGATGATATAAAGACATTATGGTTTGATCTTGGGCCAAAATGCGTTTAATTTCATATAAACCCAAATTATTTTGAAAGATAGATAGATTGAAAGAGAAAGAGAGATAGAGAGAGAGAGAGACAGAAGAGAAGAGAGAGAGATGGTGTAATTGGAGTTTTCTTACCAGTAGTTGTCGTAGGATGTGACGTGGCGGATTCCGTCGTGGACATCGTTGTGGTGTCTTGTGTAGTAGTTGATGCTGAAGAATAAAAGATGATATAAAGACATGATAGTTCCATCTTAGGCCTAAATGCTTTTAATTTCATATAAACCAAATTAAATTGAAAGTTAGATAGATTGAGAGAGAAGGAGAGAGAGATGGAAAGAGAGAGAGATAAAGAGAGACAGAAAGTGAAAGAGAAAAAGAGGAAGAGAGATAAAGGTAACACACTTGTAGTTTTAGTGGGATTTAGTGTAGTCGAGCAATGGCGGATCCAGGGGGGGGGGGGCCTGGCAATAAAAATAGTAACCACAATTTAACCTTTAAAAAGTAAAGACGCCCCCCCCCCCCCCTCTGGCTTAAAGAGAGAGAGAGAGAGAGAGAGAGAGAGAGAGAGAGAGAGAGAGAGATGATGTAAATGGAGTTTTCTTACGAGTAATTTCAATTAATTTGAAAGATAGATAGATTGAGAGAGAAAGAGAGAGCGAGAGAGAGGGGAGAGGGAGAGAGGGAGAGAGGGAGAGAGAGAGAGAGAAAGAGGGAGAGAGAGAGAGAGAGAGAGAGAGAAAGAGAGAAAGAAGAGAGATAAAGGTAACACACTTGTAGTTTTAGTGGGATTTGGTGTAATCGAGCAGTGGCGGATCCAGAGGGGGGAGGGGGGGGGGGTGGCCTGGCAACAAAACTAGTTTTAACAATTTAACCTTTTAAAAAATAAAGACGCCCCCCCCCTCTTCTTGGCAGAAAAAAACATAAAGAAAAAGATGGTAACCACAATTATTTTTCTTAGCTCAGAGGAAGGGGGTGTAGTTGAGTAAAAAAAAAATAGTGCTCACAGAGAGAGAGAGAGAGAGAGAGAGAGATGGTGTAAATGGAGTTTTCTTACCAGTAGTTGTCGTAGGATGTGATGTGGCGGATTCCGTCGTGGACATCGTTGTGGTGTCTTGTGTAGTAGTTGATGCTAAAGAGTAAAAGATGATATAAGGACATGATGGTTTGATCTTAGGCCGAAATGCGTCTAATTTCATATAACCCAAATCAAATTGAAAGATAGATAGATTGAGAGAGAAAGAAAGAGAGAGAAAGAAAGAGAGATAGAGAGAGTGAGAGAGAGAGAGAGAGAGAGAGAGAGAGAGAGAGAAAGAGAGAGAGAGAACAAAGAGAGCAACAAAGAAAGTGAAAGAGATAGAGGAGGCGCGATAGCTCAGTCGGGAGAGCAGTGGTCTCGTGATCCGGTGAACCGGGTTTGAAACAAAGTCGATGCGCTAGTGCCCTTTGGTAAGGCATTAATCCTCATTACCAGGTACCTCGGAGAGGACTTAAAGCCGTCGGCCGTCTGGTTGCTTACTAACAAGCAATTATGCTTTCTTAGCAGTCAGGTAAAATAATCATCACCACAACATATTAGAGAGGAAGAGATATAAAGGTAACACAATTTAACCTTTAACAAAATAAACACGGCCACCCCCTCTGGCGAAATGAAAGGTTAAGAAAAACATTGTAACCACAATTTGTTTTTTGTTGCTTAAAGGGAGGGGGATGTAGTTGAGTAAACAAAAAAGAAAAACAAAATCAAAAAACAAAACAACAATTGTATTTGTTAGTGCTCACTACCCCCCCCCCCCCCCCCCATCCTTCGTGTTCATCATCGTGGTGTCTTGTGTTGTACTTGTTTCTTATAACAATATGATTACTGGTACATATATAATAGGCCCCAGGTTCCTAACTCATGCATACATTTGAGTCGTTCATAGATTATTAATTGTATAATTACCATTATTGTTCAAGAATCATAATTTTTCAAAGCCTACCCTTCATTCCAATGAGTTATGATATTATAAATCAATCTTCAAGTTGGACAGACATATCATAATTGTAATGATCATCACTATAAAGCTAAAACTCACCAGCTAACTTGCAAACGAAATGTCGTTTAATACCCTTCAATGTGATGGGAAGCGAGGGCATGTACTCTGGCACTGTAGGCATTAATTCACCATTGACAAGAATCGGCTGGCAATGATTATCCTCAGTATGCAACACTTCATCGGCCATGTTTGTAGATCCCTTCGCGTGAGCTAAAACACATTAAATATACAGCATTGCAATAAGTAATTAAATACACAAAATATAAAGTTGACTTTTATATACACAAAGGACAAATTCCTTTGCTTCTCAAGGAATCAAATACAAAATATAACCCCAATTAATTGTTGTTAGCGTTCTGTATCGACCTCCGAAAGAAAACAAAATAAGTCAAAGTGGTGTCATTGATCTAGGTATTAGCGACCATTCTTTTACTTTCTGTACACGGAAAAATATTACACTGGCTATAGGTCATCACAGGACTAATGATATCAGATCCATGACAAAATATAAGAGTCTTTCGATCTTCAAATATCTGTTGTTGATTGGTCAGGAATAACTGACTGTACAGATATAAATGAGGCATGGTCAATATTTCAACATGTTTTTATCTCAAATTTGAATATGATAGCGCCACTAAAACGGATAAGAATAAAACAAAGATCAGAAACTTGGGTGAGTAAGGATATTCTTTCCCTAATTCAAGAGAGAAATATAGTATACAAAAAAATTGAGGAAAGAGCAACAGATGAGACGCTCTATAAAAGATACAGAGTATTAAGAAATATGGTCCAAAGAGAGGTGAACAAGGCTGAACTCGATTATTTACAAAACAAGATAGAAGAAAATAAACAATATTCGAAAAGGCTTTGGCAGAATCCAAAAAGCTTAGGATTAAAAAATAAGAAGCGGAAAGAACAAGAATCTGTCATTAAAATTGATGGGGAATTATGTCATGATAAGATGGCCATCGCTGATGAATTCAATTCTCATTTCACAAATGTGGCTGCCAAATTAGAAGACAAACTCCCCCTTCCTAAAAAAATTCAGCGCAGACAATGAACGTATTCGTGAGTTTTACAAAAGAAAAGGTGTAGGTGAAAACAGCTTCGAATTATTACCAATCAGTGAGCAATTTGTTTTCAAAGAGTTACGTAAGTTGAATGTATCAAAAACAGAAAGCGTTTTGTTTTGTTCTAAAAGTAGTTCTAAAAGCAGGTTTTCTTGAAGTCGACCAAAGATCAAACAACTCGTATTGCATCACGTGCATAAAATATATCATACTAGGTCGAATCATTATATTCGAACCAACTTCGATCTTGTTACTGACGTACATGATTATAATACAAGAAATAGCCGATTTAACTTTAACTTACCAGAAAGAGTAGGTAGTATTGGAAATTCGTTTTTATTACAATGCCATAAAACATTGGAATTCCCTTCCCAATAGTGTAAAGAAAATAGAAAACTATGCTCATTTTAAAAGGACATTAAAGGAATACCTAATACTTGACAGTCAGAGAAGAGAAGTGAATGACATGTTATATGATTCAAATTTGTATACTTCTGCCGGTTCATACTTTTTCATTTTGTATATACTTATGTTTTCGTACTTTATAGAATTTTTACAAATTCATTAGTATTTTCCTCTTCTTCCTCTTCCTCTTTTTCATTTTCTCAGTCTTCCTTTTCTTCTTGTACTTATTATCATTTCTATCATCAGTTTAATGTTGTTATTGTTATTGTTATCATTAATAAGTAATTCTTTTATTTTTCTTATCTGTCTGTAAATATTACTATTTTAACTTATTAATTTTATACATGTCTGTAAGGGACCCCACTGGAAATAAGCTCTCGAGCTTTCGTAGGTTAAAGAAGAATTGATGGGGGGGGGGGGACACTTGTCATCAGTTTTTACTCATTTAGCCAGACATGGGGAAGCAGATAGAGGGTGAATCAGGAACCGGTCAAAAACATTTAACTACTTGTCGTGTCTTTATTCGAATTACGACCCGACGTAATTATTAGCGTCGTGTCTTTATTCGAATTACGACATATTATGTTTTTAACCGGTTCCGGCTTCCATAGTAAGGGAAACATCTCCCACACCATCGTGAGCCTATAACTCTCTTTAAAAAAGTGTGAATTTTCACTCTATTTTCACTTTCTTGGGAGTGACGTCCGTGATCACTTGTTTAGGAGTGAAAATCGATTGATTTTAGAGTGCTCTCTAAGAAGAAAAGAGTGAATGTTCACTCTATTTTCACTACATTTTCACTCTCCAGAGGAGTGACGTCCGTGATCACTCGATTTTTTAGAGAGTATACCTCCCTACCTTTTTATACTACCACGATAACCCAAATTAAAGGCTTTAAATAAAAATATGATATGTTATA